GCCAGGCCTCACCCCACCGTGGGGGAGTCCCTCGCGTCCCTCCCGCAGCCCGCCCCGGGCCCCGGCGTGCCCCCGGCCGGCCGGGCCTCCGTGCCCCAGCGGGTCTCGCTGTTCCGGCAGATGTCCTCGGGAGCCATCCCCCCGAACCGCGGGGCCGCGCCGCCCGCGGCGCCGCTGCAAAGGGATTCTTCCACAGTCTTAAGCACAGAGCCCGAGGGAGACAAACCGCGGTTCGCCTCAAACTTATGATCCCCGGTGACTGTGAGCAACAGACTGGCAACAAACCGAGCACCATCCCCCGAACTGTTTTAGCCTGTTTCCTAACGTGCCCCAGCAGTCTACTATGAGAAAAATAATTTAGACAGCTTTGCCCTATGTAACGAATGTAAAGGTTTTATATATATATATATCTGAATATATATATATATATAAGCAATTAAAAAGCTTGTTTGAGTTCATGTCTTCCTTTTTGCAACCATTACAGAAGATTAAATTTAGCGCTAATGTTACTTATTTTTGATGTGTTGACATTATAATCAGCCAAACAGATTTCTCTGTTTATGAGATTGGCTGTTTTCATGGGGAAATTGTCAACACACCTACAAACTTCAAACAAGTATATTTAAAAAAAAAAAAAAAAAAAAAAAAAAAAAACCAACATCAATTTAACACATAGCACTGACTGAGTGATATTCTGAAACCTTTGTTACTTCATTGATTGCATATATGTTGTTAATTTCTCATGAAGAATTCAGTTGTTATTTCACATTGCACTTCATATGTTAGCACCATCCATTGGAATTTAGATTGGGAAAGGATTATGTTGCAAACACCTGCATTGCAAAGGGAGGTACTAGCCCTCCTCTGGATGGGTTGTAACCTCATGGCATGTCAACCCTTCTGTTGTCTAAGAGAACTTGGGTGGACTTTGATCTTCACACTGCTAAAGACTTTTCAAAGACTAAATATTGCCATTGTAAATAACTTTTTAGACCCGAGCAAAAATAGCTACTGTGTGGTGTACCATTGCAAGGTCTTTGTTTAGGAATTTAGGTTCCGCTTTCACTTCAAAATTTACAGTTTTAAAATTTGTTAAAGCTAAGTGCAACACAACTGTTAAATTGTAATGCAATGGCTTAAAACCTACAGTGTTACTTTTACATGCAATGTTTTATGCAAAATTGTACGCTTGATCCTGCAAACCGCTTGTACTTCACCAATACCATCACTTTTCTTCTTCTTGCCCTCAATAGCATCTGAGAATATTCCATGCATGCTTTGGAAAAAAAAAAGACAATAAAAATAGGTTTGGTCAGTAGGAAAAGGCTTTATGGTATCTTAGAAAATAATAACCATTCATTAATTGTGTCTACCTTAAAATTCCTATAATGCTGACTTTGAATCTCTGGTTTAAGTCTAGAAGTGAGGTTTTTCATTTAAAGGATTATTTGTAAACCACAGCTTGATTTAGACTTTCAGGTGCTTTCTGTGTCTTCACTGTAGTTTTGTAGTTGACTGTGGTGTTAATTTACAAAAATAAATATAATATAGCATCAAGTCTGTCTGGAAATGCACGATTTGCTCTGTGTATATTGTAATTAAATGGTTAGTATATCCTAAGGCATGTAGTGTCAAACATAGCCCATAGGTATGAGGTTTATTATTTTTTATGTCTTCAAAACAGAAAGGAAATGGTGACAGAAAGCAGGGTTAAAGCATACTGTTTTGTGAACATTTTGTTTTGTTTGCTCAAACCTTCACATTATCTTATCCACAAAAAAATAGAAAAAAAAATTCGTAATTGTTTGTGCCTGATTTGTCACATTAAATAGAGATTGAAACTAAATGTGTCATAATTTTAACTCACTGAAGAATCAGCATTATGGATATGATATGATACAAGCATATATTCTGTTCCTTAAAACCCAGCTGACTCTGTTAAGGAAGTGGATGCAAAGGAGTTCTTCTCTTCCCATCAAAGCTGAGTTTAATGATGCATGGAAAAATTAAATAACATCACAAACTACGTAATGCAGTGAATCCAGATGTACTTGAGAGCCAAGTAAATACTTTAAAGCTAACAGAGCTTGAACCCATGCTGCCTGTTATACCTTTTACTAAAGTGGTACATCAAATAAAATTTTTGAAAATATTCTTTTTTTTTTTTTTTTTTTTTTTTTTTTTTTGCTGACTCACATTCACCAGTAAAGATCGATGTAATTAACCCACTAACATGCTGCTGCCATTAATTTAAGTGACCTGGAGTGGAAATGGGGAAATGATTGTTTAAAAAAAGTGTCTCAAACATTATGGATACGCTGCAAGACCATTTATTTATGAGTACAATACCCCTTATATTATTTTAATGCTAACAAATTCTGTCAGTTAATTAAGATCATATACTGATCTTGAAAACTGTTTAAGGTTTACATTTAATAGGAGAAATGGGGTTAGTAGCAAAATATTTTTATATATATTTTTATTTTATTTTAAGCACTATGAAGAAATATTAATTCACATGGTCTTTCAGTGAAACCATAAATAATTTTTAATGACTTTGTAATAGAGTGGACAATATCTAGGATTTGTATGTTAATTAAAAAAAATGGTACAGGGTATAAAATTATATACGTATATATATATATGTATGTATGAATGTATATATACTTAGATTAAGAAACAAATGACTCACATTCCTGTAATATAAAGGTCCATTGCTAGTTTCAGAAGTGACCTATTTTCTCTGTACATAAGTAGGCCCATAAGTATGAAATCTCACATCTGTACAAGATGAAATGTATTAATGAAAAAGGTTGGATCTTACTGCTGCTGGGAAGACTATAGATCTGGTTCTTACAATAATTGTATGATCAGGGATGAGATAGATTTTTTTTGTCTTTGCTCAAAGCCATAAATAAACAAATATAAAAGATTATTAATAAATTGAAGAAAATATCTAAAAAAAATAAAACCATGATTTTTTTTTTTTTCCTTCCAATATCTGTGTAACTGAGCAAGTTCTGCTTTACCATAAAAGAAGAACTGTTTGCTTATCTCTTTTCTTTATTCTGAGCCCAGAAGTGGTATGCACTAAGTGTGGGGAGGTGGAGAAAAAGCTGCCCAAGAATTCTTTGCATTCCTGAAATACAAAAGCTTAGAAATTCAAGGATACTACCTGATTTACACAAGCAGTTCCTAAGGCGTGTTTCCTCTGCAGAGGAGAGAAGTTCATTTCCCCAAAAAACTGTCATGTAAGCTATTGCCACTAAACAGAAATACAGTATGAGTACAAATATTTGAGAGTTAATCTTGTTTTTATGTATTAAATATCCTAGAGGAGAATAGAAAATAATTGTTAGTGGCACTTAAGGAAATTGTATTCTATCATATATTCACTTTATCTCACTGTGTGTGCCAATCCCAGATGATGTACCTCTGAACTTGTGTATAAGAGTTGAGATTTCAAGGCACCATTGACATGGAAGTAATGTTCATTAATCACATTTTAGGTCATTGTAAATTAAAAAGCACAGTCTGTTCAAGTCAATAGCACATTGTGTGTTTTACATTACCTTCAGTAGGATCAATATAATTCTAAATTGATAAACTGATTTTAAGCAAGCTTGAGCAGTTGTATTTTAAATTTGCACTGTAGAGTGTATTGTGAATTCCTTTCACTAGTATTTCTTCTTTTTTTTACTTTGCATTGCTAAGTACATACAGTTTCATTCCAATGGTAGGCACTGAAATTATTTTCAAGAATACCAGCATTGAACCAGAAGAATTTTGTTAAGCAGCAAAATCCAATTCTCCTGTCTACATCTGACCACTTCACAGAGCATACATTGCTGTCTGGTCCAGACTTATTTCATACATGTTTGTGTCCAGAACCAAGCAAAACAAAGGGTTGTTTTTAAGTGGAATTTCATGTTACTACGTATGATATTGACATGTATTTAAAAACTAATTTATTTATTTTTAGAATATCTCCATTTTTAATATCTCTATCTACCTCAGGCTGCTTCCTACCTTACCTCAGACTGGAACCAAAGTAAAATTTATTCTGAATAGCAAACTTTCATACCTCAATGCATTAAGATGTCATTAAGAGTTAAGCTTAATATTTCTGTTTTCAAAATTTGAGTTCTCACACTAACTTCAGTATTTCTATGCATGTGCATTTTTTTCTACTGTATAAGTTCATTGTTCAGTGAAGAAAAAAGCATTTTATTTTAAAAATAAGATGTTAAACTTTTAAATTAATCTGAAATTCAACTGCTCTGGGAATACTCAGTGACAGCAATTCCTGGTGTTCAAAAGTCCTCTGGTCACACAAAAAAATTGCTACAATATAGGAATGGAAAATGTTTCTTTACAAATCATAGGTCTGAGCTACAAGGATTATTTGAACACTATTAGAATTGAATGTGCAAATTTATTTCTTTAGTGATTTGTCCTTTCCTATCCTTACTATTTTTTTTTCTTTTTAATTTTAATCAGGGAACTGTAAGAGCATTAATATTGCCATAGACTATGTCCTAACAGAAATATATGCTGTGAATTTTGAATGTATAGATTTTTCCCCAACAATCAGTACCCAGTGCTTAAATACTTAGCACTGTGAATCATCATCTTCTTGATCATCTTAACATCACAAAATCTGAGGTGTTCTGTGGGTGGTACACTGAATATGACCACTATTCATGCTTAAAAACTTTTTCTTCAGAAAGCCATTATGTTCAGTCTGTTTCCTGTTTTGTCACTGCAGCGTAGATGTTTTAAGTAGAGATAAGGTTTTGAAGTTTAAAAAGTTCCTGTGTATCAGAGGACAATAACTGCAGATCTCAGTTTTCATGCAGGCATTTTGGGTTACTAGGCAAGGCCATTCTTGAATTGGATTTTTTTATTTTTTTCAAAGTTAACATTAATAATGAGCTTGATGTGTTTGTTACACCAAACGTGCAGTGTCTATTTTTGAGGAGAGGCCTGCAGTGTTTTATAGCATTTAATTTTTTCTAAATGCTGGAAGATTTAGCTCCAATTATATTCATTCCTCTAGTTCAGCCAAGAGGCAGTAATGTGAGCAGTAACAGTTGCCAGGTCATTGTCCACTGCAACAGGACAGTTAGGTAGAGCATCTTGCTAGGTAGAGCAAGATGGACAGCAGTATTAGATGTGGTCTTACAAAGAACCAGAAATATTCCTAAGTATGAACCAGACTGATCAATTCACATCTGAACCTTGTATGATAAAGTAGATTATATTGCAATTGCAGACTTTGCTTTTTAAAACTCTGCTAGTCAATACCTATTTTGTGTGTAATTTGTCTTCATCCTCTGCTACGTCGTCTTGGCAACAGAAGTATGTACCAATATTTGCAGACAGTGCTTATCAACTGTATTTCAGTTTAGCTGATACCTGCCTGTTAAATACCAAAAAATATTAAGAAATCTGGAGTTTTAAAAAATCTGCCCCCCCGCCCCCCCGCCCAAAAAAAGCCAAAAAACAACCAGACATGATAAAGAAAATGCATGTGTGCATTTTACCAACTAGTATTACTCTAATGCCCTCCATCAGGAAGGACTCAAGTACATTCACTGAATCACTTGGACATTTTATGTTATATCACAGATAATGGTGCTCTTTGCAGAAATGGTGAATGCCGTGGAAAGATTCTGGAGAATGGTTTTGACATCTCCTTTGTTTCCCTCAGTAGCAAGAAGTTGTTCATCAGATCCACCAGACAAATAAGAATACAGATGGTGTAGTTCAAGGCTGTTGCTTTTGTTCATGTCTTTTTTACAAGACAAAAAGATGCAGACACAATTCAGAGCTGCTAGTGAAAAAACTTGACTGAATTAATGCACACAGAGAAATTATAGAGCATATGGTAATCTTAGCACATAACACCAGGAAACAAGCTTTTAGACCATGAATAAAAAAAATTTTTGTTCACCACTGCATACATGAGTTAAGGTGCTGTGTGTCCCTAAGTACTGTATGTGGGTTAGATCAAAGATAACCTCCAAGCCAGAAAGTGAGAAACTGTGTCTTTAGGCTTTTAATCTTCCATTTTATTTGTACACATTTAAATATCCCAGAATAACAAATCCAAACACAACAACAACAAAAAAAGGACATTACAAATCCCTAAGGTTTTGATCCTCTGATACATAACTATTCCAGCTGGTTTTCTGTTTTCTGTGAGAGCTGCATTAATCATAATGAAAGTATCTCACATATGCCGTCTCCTAGATTTGGAGTTTTAGAAGAGGAATACTGTAATTTGGTGTTTTCTTATGCAGGTCTATGGCAGTGAAGTGTTCTGTAAGAGGAGACATGTTTTTAACTGGTCTTCTGTCATTGTTTTAACAGCTTGCTAAGAAAAAGAAAGTTGGCATTGCTAATAAGTGGCAATAACTGACGTATCTGGGGTAAACTTCCATAGTGTAGGCAGTGTTATTACAGCAGACAACACTGAGCACAGAGCACCATATGTCATGGTCCTGGTTACAATGGCTATTTCAAGTCCGTGATTTTTAATGAGGTCATGTATTGTTTATTGCTGCACTCTGCTTGCGTCACTTTTTGCTCTTATCCTGTCCCTAATATTCCTGTGAAAGACAGACATGCTAATATCTGGAACATATACAAATTGTTCTGTCTTCTAGAATAGTTTTTTCATCATTTCAGCTGTGATAGGTGAAAAAAAAATCATTGCATCAAGTGGAATAATTGTTCTCTAGGGTGTTTTTTTTCTCATGTATTTGGAGAAGGTTCTCAGTGGTAATGTGAAATACTGATGTCATTGCCCAAGCGCAATGAAAAGAGCAAAAGTGACAATAACAATGAGTAGATGAAAGGCAAAGAGAATTGCCAGAGGCAGAAAAAAAATTATTTCCTTGAAATAAGGCGTTTGTGTTGAGATTCCCTGAAGGACCTGAAAGGGATAGGGGAGGAAAGATGACAACATGTCATGTCCTATTTAAGGCTGCCGAGCAGCTCTGTCATGAGAGTAGCGATAAAGCAGGAGGAACAGGAGAAATCAACCTTTCTTATTTCTGCCAAAAATACTGGACTTCTTTAAGGTAATTTATTTTGATCATTTTGAATACTGAAAGTTGACAGACCCACTTTGCGTGATGCTTCTGT